ACTGGCCATGAGTTACATGTGATATCTCCACCAAACTTCAAGGCTCTGCTAGGCAAGGACCCGTTTCTAGTGTCTCTTTGCCAGACAAAGACCACATCAACATCGATCACTCTTGGTGGATGTAATGGTGGTCAATCAATGATATCATATCTGGTTTGGGGCAATGAGACAAGAGAAGACGTGAAGGAGAGGTCTCGAGAGCACGAGCCATCTTCATCACCTATCACATCACCTGCTCGTGACTTGAGACTGTACCTCTTCGATGAGAACCTCAACTTCAAGGAGGTTCAAGGTTGGACCGAAACTTTGGAGCCACCGTCCAACTAACGACGTGAAAGAAGCGCTTATTGGGAGGCAACCCAACTATACGGTTTGCATTTCTTTTCCTATTTCTCTTTGGTTGTGTCAGTGTTGTGCTATGATTTTTGAGTCAATAACTCAACTTTTGTGAGCTTTTGTGTGGTCTTATTTGTGGTTCCACCAACTCTCTCTTCCATGGAAGGCACCTCCTGTTCCATCCAACATCATTCATCACCCAATCCGGTAACATCGTTTCCCTTATCCTTCCCTCTTCCCCATTGAGAGCAATGTCGATCTTAAGTAGAGGGGGTATTTATCTATGTTTATCTTTCACTGAATGGATGTGTTCGTGTTTTTGGAGCTAGTCCACTATCCAAATTTGGAGATTTGAGGGCTCCAAGTACGGATGTTTGCATGATCATATTGGCACAATGGTTTTGTATGGTGAATAGATTGGCTATTAGCATGGATATATGAATGACTTGTTTGTGATTGATATAACCTATAATGATGATTGAGACGTGCAATAGAGTTATGTAGGGGGTTCAGTATTCAATTGTTTGCTTACAAACTATTACTTGGTTTGATCACACTTTTTCTTACACTTGTTTATGCATAGAGGTTAGGGAATCAGAATAAGAGATAGAGCATGTAGGTAGCTGACACGCTACGACACAACACCTAACAATGGCCAAGTGTAACCAATGAAAGGGACTCGAGTATAGTGGCACAAGTAATAAATATCGAATCCACGGGTATCTAGAGTTACTATTACTCAGCTTCAGTTCATTATCTAGAAAACTAGATTAAGGATTGATTTACTAAACTACTCCACTAAATACACGTTGGGAACTCACTTAGGTATGATTCCCCTTAGCTCCTTAATTAGGTCCAAGTTGTAATTCCTTTTGGTTGTTTTACTGTTGATTAAACTGCGGAAGATCCTAAATTAACTTGGAATCTCTTAAGCCTACCAAGCCCTCTTAGACAGAATACCCGGCAGGCGACTAGCCTTCACCAGGATAGACTGCTAAGGTGATTCACACAGATCTCCACTACTGGGAACGAATTTCAGTACAAAGCAGTGAATTGACTGCTCTCGTACAATCAACTGACTCCTATCAATTGAAGAAGCTCTATCAACCTAATCAGATTCTATCTATCATAGGTTAAAGTAGAAATTAAGAGAATTTGACCAAGATTCAATTGACTCAATAAATCATGCCTCAATCAATTGACTCAAATTAAGAGAAATCATCCAAAGATTCAAACAACCAAGATCCTAACACATGGAACTAGGGTTAACTGACTGGTTGGGTTGCCTCCCAACAAACGCTTCTTTCACGTCGTGAGCTAGACAGTGGCTCCTAAGCTTCGGTCCACCCCAAAACCTCTTTGAAGTTGAGGTTCTCGTCGATAAGGTGGAGTCTCAAGTCACGAGCAGGTGGTACGATAGGTGATAAATACTCGTGCACTTGAGGCAAATGAAGTCTCCACCCTCGAGACCTCTTCTTCTCTTCTCTCGTCTCATTGCCCCAAACCAGATATGACACCATCGAGTCCACCAAGAGGGAGTGATGTCGATGTGGCCTTGGTCTGGCAAAGAGACACTGCAAACGGGTCCTTGCCAAGCAGCTCCTCGAAGTTTGGTGGAGATATCACATGTAACACATGGTCGGTGCAAGCCTTTTCCACCTCAACTTCGTCCTCAGCCTGGACACCAATAACTTCTTCAACCCCCCTTCCTTCCTCAGAATTTGATTCTTCCCCTAGGAAAAGATTAAGAACTTCCTTTAATTCCCTTTTGTCATCCTCCACAACTTCTTTCCTCATCCTTTCTTGCTCTTCTTATTCTGGCACGGATTGGAGAGCAAGTCGCCAAGAAATTTCTTTCCTCATCCTTTCCTCATCTCACATCTCCTCACTCATGCCCACCTCTTCAAAACTCGGTGTGGTATGTGGAAAGGTGTGGTCGGCTACAACAGGACATTCCTGATCATGATCATCATGAGAGCTCTTCGTGATAACTTCTGGTTGCTCCACAATATCCTTGTAGCCTTCGTCTTCCTCCTCCTCTTCTAGTATAACAGCAGAAGGGTGATCTTGAGCAGGCTATGCATAAGCTTTCTCAAGATCCTCGAGGCTATTCTTTATGCGCAGGAGGGTCTCCTCTGTTTCACGGTAGGAGAACTCAGTTTGGGTAATGTCCGGGATATCCATCTTCGGAAAGGATCTCTCAGGTACTCGAGCAATCTGTTCCACGAGAAGCCGCAAGTGATAGTTTGGATCTGGCTGATGGAGGAATTCTTCTTGATAAGGAGATTGTTCTTGAAATTCCTAGGGGTCTGATTGTTCTTCATAGTAGGGGGGTTGGTACTAAAACCCAAATCCATAGTTTTCTCCTCCTTGATTGCTCCAGGAAGCCTCGGGGTAATACCACTCAGATGGTGGTTGATACCCCCAATGGTTGGAGAAGCCATGAGTATCCATGTTCCAGATCTGCACCAACAAAAACAAAACACCCAAGTGAAAAGCAAGGGTGGAAAATAAAAGAAAAATGCTAAAGTAACAAACTTCTGCCTTTCCTAATAACTAGAAAGTCCCCGGCAACGGCGCCAAAAACTTGACACGCTACGACACAACATCTAACAATGACCAAGTGTAACCAAAGAAAGGGACTGCAGTATAGTGGCACAAGTAATAAATATCGAATCCACGGGTCTCTAGAGTTACTATTACTCTTTATTATCTAGCAAACTAGATTAAGGATTGATTTACTAAACTACTATACTAATTACAGGTTAGGAATTCACTTAGGTATGATTCCCCCTAGCTCCTCAATGAGGTCCAAGTTGTAATTCCTTTTGGTTGTTTTACTGTTGATTAAACTGCAGAAGATCTTAAATTACCTTGGAATATCTTAAGCTGACCAAGCCCTCTTAGACAGAATACCTGGTAGGCGACTAGCCTTCACCGGGATAGATTGCTAAGGCGATTCATACAGATCTCCACTATTGGGAACGAATTCTAGTACAAAGCAGTGAATTGACTGACTCTTGTACAATCAACTCACTCCTATCAATTGAAGAAGCTCTATAAACCTAATCAGATTCTATCTATCATAAGTTAAAGCATAAATCAAGAGAATTTGATCAGGATTCAATTGACTCACTAAATCATGTCTCAATCGATTATAATCAAACAATATAGCATCCAAAGATTCAAACAACCAAGATCCTAACACATGGAACTGGGGTTCCTCAAACCTAAGTGAAGGGAAGTTACTCCATAGAGAAGAGAGAGATTGCAGTATAACTTTCCAGATCTTCAATCTTCATGTCTACACTTGTTCCTTGAGCTCCAAGAATGGCTCTAGATCTCCCTCTCTCTCTTTGGTTCGTCACTTGGGTGTTTGGGATCCAAAACCCAGCTCTTCCTCTCTAAAATCGCAGAAAACAGACTTATACCTGAGCAGGGACAAAAACACGGCCGTGCTTTTAGGGTAGTCTGAGCGTGTTTCTTCCGCCAAACTTGTTCCTCTGCCTTTGATGCTTCATATCTCCATCGTCCGGAATCCGAATCAGTCGTCGTTTGATCCCAGACGCTCATAGTCGCGTACTCTTTATTTTCATGAAAAACTTACATGATTCTTTGTCCATAAAATGATATAGAAATCCATTCTTCTTTAGGATATGCCCAAGTTTCTTCTTCCAAATCGCCAAGTGATCTCTGATTGACTTGAAACTTGCGCCTATGCTTCACTTTACATCACTACAAAAAAGGCAGTCATTACCGACGACACGATTTTCGTCATAATTGATAAAATTTTGTTGGAAAATATCTTTTACGACGACATTTCGTTGTCAAACGTCCTCAGAAATTGTCCCGTCGCTAATAAAATATTATTGACAAGCCGTCAAATTTACAATATTATTGACGACATGAAACGTTAGTAATCAAATAAATGACGTCACAAAAGAAATCACTAATGACGAATGAATTTGACGATTTTTTTTTACGACAGCTTAATTTATTTTTGACGCATTATTTTTGTAGGTAAACCATTTTTCAGACGAGACGTCATATATTAACGTCCATAATTCATCGAAAATAACTATTTGCGACCAGAATTTGAGGCCGGATTTTTTTTTGATACGTTGTACATAAATTTCTGAGGATGTGTATGCGTCACTAATATATTATTACCGACGTTTAGTAAAAAATATAAATTTTACTGATGCCAACAAATTGTTGTTAAAACTATGTTTTTTTCGACGTGTCGTCGGAAGAATTATTATTTCCGAGGACAACTATTCATCGTAAATAAAATATTTTCCAATGTGTCTTTGGATAAATTTTTATTTACGATGACAACTATTCATCATAAAATTAATCTTTTCCGACGTATCGTTGGATAAATTTTTATTTACGATGACATCTATTTATCATTAAAAAATCTTTTCCCACGTATCGTTGGTTATATTTATATTACTGAGGATATATGTTTATCGTCGGAAAAAATATTTTCCAATGAAATATATTTACTGAGGACAACTAATTATCATAAAAAAATTATCTTTTCCAACACGTCGTCGGAGAAACTAATTTACTAATGACGCTTAATTATTGTCAATTGTGCAATTACATCTATTAACGACGGTGACATTTGTTGATAATTGCTCGATCAAATTTCATTTGTGACGCCATTACACTTCTAGTGATGACAACACGAACAAATCATCCAAACAAAGTTATGCATATTCCAAAATTAACTTTCCAACTGTCTAATAAGTAGCCATCAGCAACGACCAAACATCCAAACTTCAAAAGGCAAAATATCCTCCGAAAATGACATAAAATATCCCAAAGTCAAGCGATACTTAGAATCCTACGATAGCATTAAGAAGAAATTCATGCATCAGCAGTAGTCTCCTCGGCAGTCTCCTCATCGGACTCGTCGGACTCGTCGTCATACACATCGTTACCCTGAGTTTCCCCAACTCGACCTTGTTCCCCATTTGCTTCTCTACAAGACAGATTCAACAATGTGAGGGACTGCATTCCTCACATCTACGATCTCATCCTCCAACTTCTTCATTTTCTCATCATTTTTTCCCCTTTCTTTGGTTCGATCCTCCTGACAACGCTTTCTGCAACCCTGACTACCTTGACTTGATGGGGGACCGAAGACATCAACCGAGCTCACCCCATGGCCCATCCCTAGAACACGCTTTGGGCGTTGTGGTCCGATCACTTCTTGATAGATGGCAAATTTGTTTGGTTCTTCACCTTGGGATACCTTTTCAGCCTCTGCTTGTATCATTCCATCCTAATCATGGAGTAAACAACATTAATATCAATAATAAAAAAACAACAAAAACGAGTACAAACATCAGCCTAATACTCTGTAAACAACATCAATATCAATAAAAAAAGACAACAAAACCGAGTACAAACAGCAGCCTAATACTGTCTAAACATTATTGAACTTACATGCAGGGTTTTTGCTTTTGACGAAACCCAGTTCTTGTCCTTCACATGGAAACGTCTAAACATCTCGATCGGATCAGGTTCTTTTCTAGTTTGTTTTATCTACCAATCAATTAAAAAGGAAAATTGCATTTACATGTAAACTGAGTACACTTGAAGCCTAACATAAACATTAGCAATAGTGCAACAACTTACCTCTTCAAGTCTGTACTTGGCCAACGGTGCTGAACCGCCAGTGGCTGCAAGCTCACTCTTCTCCCGATTCCCTTTATTCTTCTCACTCATTTCCTTGAATTCGAAACAACAAACAATCAATTCACCATTGAAAACAAATTAGGATGAAAGACAAACACCAAAGCATACACCCACTTAACTTACCACCCAATTCTGAACCATCTCCCTCCAAATTGATGGACTAATTTGCGGTGGTGGATGGTTCATTCTCTGATTCAGATCCTTATACTTCTTGAAAATCCGGTCTCGGAGACCATACATCCACTAGGGAAAGTTTCTCTTCACGTGTTGTCTGACAATATCGTGGAAAGTCTCTTCTGACCCAGTAAAAGTAAATCCTGAGTCCTTGAAACGAGCTATCACAGTCTCGAGTTCTGATGCAGGATACTCTGAGAACGTAATCCAAGGCCCATTGATGCTCCTTTTGAAGATAGCTGAAATTTCACGGGCTGCTTGAGTGGTAATTATCCTGCACAGTTTATAAAGAAGTATCAAACTAAGTAAACTGAGTACAGGGACAGGTTATCGTGAAAGATTTGAGACAGGTTGTGCAAAAAATTCCAAGGAACATTATTACAGACCTGTTATCGTGAAATTCCAGGGACAGGTTGTGTCCAAGCTTTACACCCTTTCCTGGTCCTCTTCCTTTTCTTTTTTGGTCGTCCCTATCACAAGGTCAGAACTTATAGTCAGCTACAATGCAAAGACAGAAGTAAGCCAATAGAAATAAAAAAACCACACAATGAAACTAACCATTTGAACTTCCACCCTCTGATGACAGGTCCGCAGCTGAATGTTGAGCAGTCGAATCAACCTGCTCTGTTTCTCCTTCCAATCCAGTAACAGGGGACCTTTGCTCCATTCTCAGAGTTTTAGTGATAGGAACGGGCGGATTGGTGTTCCTGCTACCTTGTCCTTCTTCCTGATTCTCTGAAACAAGAGGCGGAGAGGGAGAGTTGCTCTGCACAGGTGAACGAGGTGCAGATTCTTCCCTCTGGCTTTGAGAACGGATGCGTTTCTTTTGCTTTGCCATCTAGTGAGAAGCAGAATTCGTTAGAGGGAGGAGAGGAATGTCAGAGAATAGGGAATGGCAAATGACGAAGAAAAGGATTTTGGGTCCCTTTATTTGGCTATGCCTACTGAAGCGTGTTTATGGATACTAGGGATTATTAATGAAGCGTGTTTGTGTGTAGTTATTGTGTTATGGTGGGAAACAAGGAAAAAATCCCGCCTTTTTTTTAGGCTAACGAAGAGGCAGAGCAGGTTTATGGTTCTTTACTTTTTCTGAGCAAATGTCGTTCCAGAGATCCCTCTCTGCCGTTTTACTCATTTAACGCATTAATTCGTTTTTTGCAATTAAGGTTTAATTACATGAATGAACAATAATTGATAAATTAGGGGGAATTGAACTCAACTAATTACATTAATGAACAATGAACCAAATTGCAAAGAAAACGAACCAAAAACAGACCCCATGGATTATGATTCTATAGACTTGGCCACTGAACTAACTCAGAACAGACCCCATTGTGCAATGAACGAACTAATTACCTGGAATTCCGATTCAGTCCCATTCTTAGAGAGTTCTAAGATGCTTTCTGGGTGCATGCATGTTCGTTTTACACCTGCAATCGAGGAAATCAAACCACAGCATTCAAATCCACATCTATGCATATAAATTGATTTGCTTGTACACATCCAATCGAAAGAAAAAGCAAACAAACCTATATTCTGTCGACTAAGAAAGGCGAAGGAACCCAGATTCCGGCGAATAAAGATCAGCTCTCTGTCCTCATTCATCTCTCTCGATTCGCAATCCGTCGCGAAACCCTGACCCACAAGAGGATTGGGCTCCCGCTACATCGCCTCATCCACGGTGCTCAGTCCGTCGGCAGATCGGAGCAATTGACGGCGGCCATGACGTCGCCTTCGGGCACCCCAGTTCACCAACCGCCGCAGCAACTAGAAATACCGTCGTCGTCTCCTCTGCCCCCCCCCCCCCCAATCTTCCATCATCGACAGACTTGAAATCGCCACAATCTTTTGGGTAAGTGAGTAAAAATGAAATCGATTAAGGGTTTGGGTAAATAGAGTGCATGCGAGGAGGGGAGAGGGGAAGATGGAGTGTTGTGTTCTCCATTTTAATTTATTGAGAATAAATTATCGTGTTAATTGATTAGCTGACATTAAAAAATAAAAATAAAAGTGTGTTATTGAAGCGAAGAGGGGCAGATGATTATGTAGGCTTTTTAATTTATATTTTGTTGCTAATAAACATTTAATACAATTATTGAATTGCAATAATAATATATATATATATATATTGTTAATTTTATATTTCATTTAAGCAAGTGGCAATAATTTAAAATATATTGTACATTTTTTGTAGGTTATGGAAGGTGTTGATAAATCATGGATGCAGCTTTGTAATAGATCAACTATGGAGTATGTGAATGGCGTTCAAAATTTTATCGCATTAACATACTCCAATATTCAAGACGAAGACAACAAAATACAGTGTCCTTGCGTGGACTGTTGGCATAGCAGTTTTTCAAACTGGTCAGAGATTCTCAGACGCCATTGTATGAAGGTTGTGATGAAAAGTTATCCAGTCTGTCATGCCTGGTGAAGATGATGCATTTGAAGTGGTTCAATTCTTGGAGTAATACCTTTTTACTCAATTATTGAAGTTTCTTCGATCTACTTTCCCTATGGCACAGTCTACAATGCCGAAGAAGTACTATCAAGCAAAAAAGATGTTGAGTGGCCTTGGGCTAAATTATGAAGAAATAGATGTTTGTGAAAATGACTGTGTCATTTACTACGGGGAGCTCAAAGGAGCAACGATATGCCCTTCCTGCCAGAAACCAAGGTATAAGAAAATCAGGAAGGATAGTAGGGGAAGAGTCACCAAGGTGCCCTACAAGATACTAAGATATTTTCCCATAAAGCCAAGATTATATCGCTTATTCATGTCGCAAAAAACTGCGGAGGATATGGTGTGGCATAGCGAACAACGTGTCAGAGATGGCAAATTAAGGCACCCTGCTGACAGTGAAGCTTGGAGAGTTTTGAACTAGTATGATGCATCTTTTGGTTCCGACCCTCGCAACATCCGATTGGGATTAGCAACGGATGGCTTCAATCCATTTGGCAACATGAATAACAAGCATAGTACATGGCCGGTAATTCTGTTCCCGTATAATCTCCCACCGTGGTTATGCATGAAGAGTCCATATCTATTATTGACATTACTCATTCCTGGTCCGAAAAGTCCAGGAAACAATATTGATGTCTACCTGCGACCACTCATTGATGATCTGAAGTCATTGTGGAGTGAGGGAATAATGACTTATTATGCATTCAAGCAAGTGAATTTCAACATGAAAGCTGCATTGTTGTGGACTATCAATGATTTTCCTGCATATGGTCTCCTTTCTGGTTGGAGTACAAAAGGAAAATTGGCATGCCCTTCCTGCGCAGGGAACACCTCACATTAGAGGTTGAATAAAGGATGCAAGGAATGTTACATGGATCATCGCCGTTTTTTGCCATTGGATCATAAATGGCGCAAGCAAAAGAAGGAGTTTAACGGCACTGTAGAAAAAAGACGTGCGCCAGAGCGATTATCATCCGAAAAGGTAAAAAATCAACTTCTCTCTTTACAAACTATACCTTTCGGCAGTAAGGGAAAAGGCAAAAAAATAAATGGGTTTGGCAAAACTCATAACTGAAAAAAGAAGTCTATTTTCTTTGAATTGCCATATTGGTCATCGCTCTTAGTACGCCACAATTTAGATGTCATGCATATAGAGAAAAATGTATGTGATAGTATTCTTGGTACTATTATGAATATTGAGGGCAAAACAAAGGATGGTCTAAGTGCACGTTGTGATTTGGACGAGATGGGTATAAGGAAAGATCTTCATCCTGTTGAGAGGAATGGGAAAATAGAGTTACCTAGAGCTGCATATAGCTAGACGGCAGCAGAGAAGAAATCCTTGTGTCAGTGGCTATCAAAAGTTAAGGTACCAGATGCTTACTCTGCAAGTTTGGCACGTTGTGTCAATGTTGATGATTGAAAGATACATGGGATGAAAACTCATGATTGTCATGTGTTCTTGGAGAGGTTATTACCGTTAGCCGCCCGTGACTTATTTCCGAAGGTCATATCGGACACACTGATTGAGCTTAGCAAATTTTTCAAGGACATATGTTCCAAGGAGCTAAACGTGGAAGATTTGAATTACTTGGAGTCTCAAATTGCCATAATCCTTTGTAAGTTGGAACTTATTTTTTCTCCTGCCTTATTCAATATAATGATCCACCTGCCCATCCATCTACCTTGGGAGGCCAAAGTTGCTGGTCCAGTTTAGTATGGATGGATGTATCCTATTGAAAGGTATGCTATATACATAACTACACTAAAATTATTATATTTACTGACATTTTGGAAACTTTATGTAGTTAATTTGACAATTTTTAAACAATTTAGGTATTTGAAGAAGTTAAAAGGTTATGTTCGTAACAAGGCACGTCCAGAGGGATCAATCGCCGAAGCTTATATTGTTGATGAATGTGTCATATTGTTGATCAAGGCACGTCCAGAGGGATCAATCGCCGAAGCTTATATTGTTGATCAAGTCACATTCATCATACACATTCATCAACAATATAAGCTTCGGCGATTGATCCCTCTGGACGTGCCTTGTTACGAACATAACCTTTTAACTTCTTCAAATACCTAAATTGTTTAAAAATTGTCAAATTAACTACATAAAGTTTCCAAAATGTCAGTAAATATAATAATTTTAGTGTAGTTATGTATACACATTTTGCTCGCAATATTTGACCGGAATGGATACTATATTTAATCGGCCAAAGAGAAAAGTAGATAAATCTTCATCGCCGTCGCAACCATCTCATGACCTATCAGTTGCTCCGGGTGTCGGTCGTGTCATTGGTGTGAATGACGACATGAGAGACTTCAATACTAATTTGTGGAAGGCGGAAGCTTCTTATGTCCTACAAAACTGTGATGAGGTGCAAGATTTTATAAGGTACATATACATATATACCAATACTTATTTATTTATTGTATGCTAGAATATAATTTATTTTAATTATATTAATTACAGAACTCACAAGGAACAACTAACCAATCGAGGTGTTCGTACGGTTGAAGCAGTGCATAAGCAAGAATTTGCTAAGTGGTTCTTATTAGAGGTACATACATGTCATATATAATAAATAATTTTCATATTTAAAAATTATCGCA